TACAGGTAAGTCTGTGCTCAACATCTATATAGAACATGTAAGTCTGTCCTCAACATATATATAGTACAGGTAAGTCCCTCCACAACATCCATATAATACAGGTAAGTCTGTGCTCAACATCTATATAGAACATGTAAATCTGTCCTCAACATATATATAGTACAGGTAAGTCCCTCCACAACATCCATATAATACAGGTAAGTCTGTCCTCAACATCTATATAGTACAGGTAAGTCTGTCCTCAAAATCTATATAGCACAGATACGACTGTTCTCAATAACTGTATACTACAGGTAAGTCTGTCCTCAACATCCATATACTACAGGTAAGACTGTCCTCAACATCTATATACTACAGGTAAGTCTGTCCTCAACATTAATATACTACAGGTAAGTCTGTCCTCTACATCTATATACTTCAGGTAAGTCTGTCCTCAACATCTATATACTACAGGTAAGTCTATCTTCAACATCTATATAATACAGGTAAGTCCCTCCTCAACATCTGTATACTACAGGTAAGTCTGTCCTCAACATCTGTATACTACAGGTAAGTCTTTCCTTAACATCTGTATACTACAGGTAAGCCAGACCTCAACATCTTTATAGTACAGGTAAGTCCTTTCTAGACATTCGTATATTCCAGGTAGGTCTGTCCTCAACATTTGTATAGTAAAAGTAAGTCTGGCCTTGACATCTGTATACTACAGGAAATCCCCGACCAAACAAGATGCAAAATTTGTCCTATAGTTCAGAGTCATATCGCTTACTTGTCAATATCTGATGACTGAAGACATTGTCATGATCTGCAGCTGAGATTAATGTTTTCTCTTGAAGGCCATGCTTGACATCTCTGCTGACCAAGGCTGGTTAGTGACCACCCTACGCATCACAATCCTGATCCAGATGGTCATCCAAGGGCGTTGGTCAACCGACAATGCCCTCCTGACTTTACCACACATGACACCCTACCATCTCAGCTGTCTCAGGTAAACATAGATACATGTAGCTTATTTCAACCA